AACTCTATGAACCTGGAGAAAGGATGGAAATTATACAAGTGTTCAGGTCTTTTGTTCATAGGGGTCACTATGAGTTGCCTATGACTCGACAATGCTTACAACAACAATGACAACAAGACGATGGTGATGATTCAGAACATATATTTTTCAGAGGTTAAAGTTGAATGCCATGGGACATAGCATTGACCCCTGAGGGCTGGGTGGCATCTAAGATCCCTTTGTTAGAATTGACAATTGAAGTGAAGTTTCTCAGCCCTGGTGCTGTTGACTCAGGGGTTGGATAATTCTTGGCGGTGCCGCCGACCCTGAGTCTTGTAGTTTTTTGAGCGTTATCCCTGACCTTCTTCTCCTTCATGGACCAGTTGTCATTGAGTTGATCTGGGCTCTGGCCACCACATTTGTCTCCAAGTGGAGCATGGAGCTCAGGGGTTCCTGTGGTTGATTTGGGGCGGTAGATCACCAGGTCTTTCTTTGGCGCCACCTCTGGATGCGTTTGAATTGCCAGCCTATCATTCAGTAGCCAAGCCCATTGACCATTTGTTGCCCCCATGGGATCTTTGTTGGACATCTAAACAAACATGAGGGGTTTTGGCTGTCATCCTTAAAGATGCAGCTCTTTGCTGGCAGCAGAATTCAGTCTACCTGGGCCACTTACTCACCGCCCCCCCATTGTGGTAGGGGCTTCTCAGATCCTTCCCCCCAACCCTGTTTGTCTTTCCACAGTGGGATGAATTCATGGAACTCAGCAGTGATGTCTCTGACATCCAGCTGGACCAAGTCATAGAGAGCCAGAAGGCCAATCAGTGTGCCATGCTCATCTACACATCGGGGACCACGGGCATCCCCAAGGGTGTGATGCTGAGTCATGACAACGTGAGTGCACCCCACCCTGCAATGGGGGGCAACTTGGCAGTGCCCAGCATCCTTAGCTCAGGACCAGTGGGGGGGGTATTTTTTCTTACTTTTTTAATATTCTTTCTTTTTAGTAATTTTAATGAAAGTTTACAGAGACTTAGGGTTTCCAATCATTCACTGTTGCACTTTTCTCCCTGCCCACCCTCTCCACCCCAATTCACTCTTCTCCTTGAAAAGGAAAACTCTTTCATTGTTATGCAATCCCTCCCCTGAAGTCCACTCCGTTGTGCAGCCTTCATTCTGGACTCCTATAATAGCAATAATACCCAATCATATATTCCTTTTAAACAGTTCTCTCCCTCATCTGTTTCAATGTAGTATACATCATTCCTCCCCTCCTTCTGTCTTCCCTCAACCCTGATGTCAGTCCTGTTTTACAACAGTGGCACTATGAAATATTTGTCCTTTTGTGACTAAGATATTTCATTCAGTATAATGTCCTCCAGGGTCATCCATTTTGAATAATATTGCATGAGTTCCTTGTTTTTCAATGCAGCATAGTATTCCATTGTGTGACTATGCTAGCGCGTCTCTCTCCATTCATTTGTTGATGGGCCTTTGGGCTGTTACCAGCTCTTTGCTATTGCAAACAAAGCTGCAATAAACATGAGTGTGCATATATCTGCTTGGATGGTGGTTATGGTTTCTTTGGGGTATATTCCCACTAGTGGAATTGCTGGGTCAAATG